AACTGGATGAGCTTTGAGGTCCCTTCCAGCCAAAACCATTCTGTGCTTCCATGGAGCAGGGTTGTGGGACTCCACCATCTACCACCCTTCCCCTTTCTACCGCCTGTTTGTAGGGCCCCTGGGGAGAGACGGGTGAGGAGAGTCTTCAGGGGCAAGTGCATCCCGTTACTTCGCGGGATCGTTGCTGTCCAAGTCGTGGGGAGGGATGTCAGGGGATAGATCAGTGAGTTGTAGAGTAAGTATTTTTAGGCAGTAGTAACTTAGATTTGTTTCCGGGAGATGTTTCACTTCATAAGGATGTTTTTCCCCCTATTTGAGTATAAATGTGCATACCTAGGAAAATGTTTATCTCTCTTTAGCCTGTGGTAATTATGAATAGAAAGCATGTTGGCTGATTTTTAGGAGCACTGTCATGTGGATTAAGAGTTTGTCTGTAGACTCATCAGCATGTCTGTCTTTTTCTTGTAAGGAGCATTACTTTGGAGAATGTCTGGAAGTTTCTACTTTGTGATAGTTGGCCATCATGATAATCCCATATTTGAAATGGAATTTCTGCCTCCTGGAAAAGTGGAGTCGAAGGTGTGGTTTTTCTCATGATACTCCTATGATGTAATTATGATGCATTTTCTTTTGTAATTTTACGCTGTGTTAGAAGCATGACCAGCATTTTGTTCAAAGTATTATTAGTGTCTACTGTTTTCTGCTTTTTTACAGAAACTTTGTCATGGGGAGTAGAACTCTGGCATTCTGGAGTGTCTTGAAAGTTCTTTGTCAGATCATATTAGTTCTTCATAAAACATGATTTCCTTAAATATTTGGTGCTGTATTGTGAGGAATATATGTGCTAATTATGCTTAGTCATTGCTCTTAGGGTGTAGAGCTTTTATAGTAGCTGTTTGTTATTTAACGCTTGTGTCATTCTCTAAGGCCTCTGTATATAGTTATAAGGTAAAGTGAAGAACGTACATTTGAAAGCTCTATTTAGTCCTTTACTTCTTATGCTATAAACCGTCTTATTTTTTAATCATCCTCATTAGTCATACTTGATTTTAAGTAAGAAAGGTTTAAAGCTTTTATTGATAAATACAAGTTTTAAATGTGAGAAATATAAGACAATTGTGTAAGTAGTGTTTCCAGTGGAAAAAGAACAAATCTGGTATTACATCAAAGAAAAAATAGGTTGTAGAATAAAAATCCATGGATCTGTGAGCTTGTCCAAAAATTGAAGTCTGTGCTGTCACTGATTTGAACAGCATGGTGTTACCTGTATTTCGCACTAGTGTCCCATGAAAGATTGTAAATAAGGCTGGTTAGACCAGAATCAGTTAGTGTGCAGATGTGTCGGTGTAAAAATTCACTTTCTGCATTCTGCTATTGGAAATAGCTTGCCTTGGGTAAGCTTCTTGTCTGACTGAGGTCGAAGTACTAAAGAGAGAATCTCCTAAGAGAGAATCTAAAGTTAATGTACAGTGAAGGAGAACTATTAGACGTTCATGTTTTGGCAATTGCCACTTCTGTTTCTGAGATATGCGGTTAAAGAGTGAATTAAGTTCAGATACACTTAGTGATAGACTTCAGATGAAGTGAGTGGTTTGCATAATGTACATGGTAAATCAGCATGAGCTTTTGTCCCTTAAACTTCACTAGTGTCTTCCTTGGTATGGTTTAATGGAACTTACAAAGCTATTAATGCCCTGAGTCAAACTTGATTTGGGGGAAACATAGTGCACTGAGAGGTGTGAGAGTGGCATTAATAGTATCCCCGTATTATGAGAAACAGTGCAAGACCACTTATGTTTCCAGTCTAATACAAGCTTACAGTATGGTTTAGTCCCACATCTCTTCTTCACAGGTGTCCTCTGGTGTTGTAGTTCATGCGCAAAGTAAACAGCTCTTTGCCCACACAACTCTTGCAGTGTTGGTGCCAAACACTGTGATCAGTCTTATGAAGGCCATTCATGTTTGTTATAGGAAAAGGTGCAATTTACATCTGCAAGCATACATTTAATACAAGTTGCAGGATGCTTTTCTGTGCTAGCTCTTAGGAAAAAGAAAAATCCCAAAAGAACAAAACAATCCTATGTTTCTAGGCAAATAACCTTAAAATCCAGAATCTTTAGGTGATGATTTTATCAGTGTATCTGTCCTCTGTATTGCTTTGCTTTCCCCATCTCTCTTCCAACTTTTACACATTGTAATATTTTACGATGTTTTAACACACAATGTTTTACAATGTTTTACATTTTAACATTTACACATTTTAGCATTGTAACATTGTATTGCTCAACTTCTGCCAAATTTGACAGAGATCTTATGGTCCAAAACATACTAAATTGCTGTAAATTTCACAAAACCAGGTGTCTGGAAAGCAGAGAAGATGACTTTTATGAGGGCCTCTGTTGTGGAATAAGTTTGCGGTGAGAGATTACCCATTGGTAAACAAAAGAATTCATGCTTGAATTCATTCTTGAAGCATAAATATAGGCTTTACTGGTTTTACTACGCTCATGGCTGGTTTTATGATGACCTTGTTATTATGACCTTTTTTCTCTCGTGAAACTAAGTATCGTGACAATAGGTACTAGTTTCATTTACAGGATGGCATATATGTAACAGAAAAAAAGGGTGTGTGTATAACTAGTTGTTTAGCAACTTGGGCGAACTATTGTTTATATTTCACTCCTTTCACTGAATTACTAATCCTCTGTCTTCTGGAAATACATTAGGATGATCATCGCCATCTCAACCAGTTTATTGCCCATGCTGCTCTTGACCTAGTAGATGAGAACATGTGGCTTTCTAACAACATGTACCTGAAGACTGTGGACAAGTTTAATGAATGGTTTGTTTCGGCTTTTGTCACAGCTGGACATATCCTTTCCTCTTCTCTTTCCGTATATTTATATAGGCAAATCCTTTTGCCAGAAAGGGACAAGTTAGATAAAATGAGTTTGGAATAGATTTCTCTGGCTGCTCATCACTGTTACAGTTAGAGTGAGTCACCAGCTTCAGGGTAAATTAAGTTGGGAGGCACATCAGGTGTTTAAAACTGGGACCAGCTGGAACGATGGATTTTTCCTTTTGAAAGAGCTGAAATAGCCTAATGAAATGTGGAGCTCACCTGGAACAGAGGAAAGAGGTATGAGTTCAAGCAAGCTTACATGATTCTCTGTTCCCAACCCTTGAATAGTGCTAGACAGGAGAAAGAGGGATAAACATGCTTGGTGTCCATCACACCCATCTTGACAATGCAGTGTCAAGGCTTGATCTCATGTGCAAGTCATCCTAAAAGTGTTTGTTGTGAAACATTTGTTATGCATGGCGAGTAACACTGAATGTTATTTTTAACTTCAGGGGTATATGGCAAAGCTGCTGAGAGTGTCATCCAGATTCAGAATTGTGTAGCTTTAAAAAGAATAATCTTGACTAGAGGTGATTATTTTCACATGGGGAGTTTCTAAACAGAAAGGAAATGCTTTCTAAATTTCACTGCTTCAGTTACTACTTTAAAATGCTTCCTGCTTTAGAGTCACTGCTATTTCATGTACAGCTAAACATTTTAACTGTATGCAGAATTAGGTGTTAATGTTTATCTCAGGATATGTTAAATGTCTCTCTACTTTGTGAAAGATAAATTTTTCTTAATTGCTTTACATATGAGATTTATAATGCTTCATGATGTAAGGCAAGAAGACGGAATTAAGAACTTCTTTAATGATGTATATGACTTATATATAAAGGTAAGAACCCACTTCCTATGGTCTCACTGCAATATTTCTAGGTGTGTTCTGCTGTAGATGCTCAGGCACGCCTGTATTAGCATGTTTTCTCATGGGGGCCCATGTAAGTGGAGAAGCACCCGTGAAGTCCACGTGAGCCTGAGTTGATAATGTAAGACATAAAGGCTGTATTTTACATTATACAGAACAGATTTTTCTGAATTGTTATAAATTGTGCTCCTTCAGGATTTATTCTTCATGTTAGTCCAGTGATTTTTAGGGCAGTATCGTGTCATTAATGGGAATAAGGAAAACAAGGGCTGTTGTACAGAAGCTGGGTCAAAGTGTTTGCTCTCAGAACAAGTGGCCTGTGTTCTCACCGCCTGGAGGTACTTCCACTAGATGGGGCAATCATAAGCACCCATTGGAAGACTTGCCATCTTGGCCTCCTTCGGGCACTCTACTGATGCTTATTTCCAAACCAGAAATTTCCACCAGAATCATGATGGGTTTGCTCTGAGGAGCTGCTATAAGGGATGGCCGTGCACGTACACAGGGAGAATGCAAGGGCCTGGAAAGCAAGCAACTGTTCAGGAGCTCCCTGCTCTTAAGTGGCACTAAACAGGCTGAAAGATAATAGTAGTTGTCATCTGAAGTAACATTTGCTAGTGCTGGGCATTGTGCTTATTGATGACTTTTTCTTTTTTCCTCAGTTTGCAATGAATCCATTTTATGAACTTAATTCTCCTATTCGATCCAGTGCCTTTGAAAGGAAAGTACAGTTCCTTGGGAAGAAACATCTGTTAAGCTGAATAAACAAATTTCCTGAGTGAGTGCTTTTTCCATACTTCCCTGATTATTTGAACTGTAGTTCTTGTGGTTATTTCTCAGCATGTCTGATATTCATCTTCTGAAGACTGACAAACTGGATGCTGAAGAAGCTTTTTTGTTGCTGTTGCCAGTAGAGATCAGAACAGCCAAGCTTCTCTTGTTAATACATGTAACTTAAGAAGTTTCCTTTTATGTGCTATGAAATAGATACAACCTGAGACTTGGGTGCCAGTGCATATGCAAAATGTAAGCTTCTCATATGCGGTGGGAGGAAATCAGCTCTAAACACAAAAAACATCTCAAGTCATGCAATTTGATATAAATAAATAGTAAAAGGGAATTCTTGACTGTTTGGCCTAAGGGGTTAATTTTGTTATACACTTTTCTACTTACAGACCTTTGCTAGAGAACATGCTGTGCAGACTTAACAGACTAACCTTACTCTTTGTGGTATTAAATTAGGTCTATATTTATATTGTAATGTAATGTAGGTATTATAAAGTGTTTAATAAAGAGGGTGTATCAGCAAAGCTCTGTCTTCAATATTTCAATTTGGGAAAAAACTTAATGTTTTAGAGCTTAAAATTTAAAGCTTCAAACTTACGAGATGTTTAGTGCGATACATGTTTAGCTGCAGTGTTGCATCAAGGGAAATGACTGAAGTAGCCCAGAACACCTATGTCTGGCCTGACTTTAATCCTAATTCACATATGGAAAAAAACTACACTTGTATGTTCAAACCCACATCTTTCCATTTTCTCTGCAAGTGCTGAAAAGAAAATATATTAAGAGTAGGATCTTTGAACTATAAATCTTTATTTGCTTATTTGACATTTCAGAAAGGCATTATTTGGCCTGTCTGGCTACTGTTCCACTGTAAAATGTGGCTAGGGACTCGTCTGCAAAACTCACCATCATTCCAAAACAGTAATTTTTGAATGGGCTGTTTGGCATATATGTACCTAATATTTTGATTGGTTTCACAATCTTTTAAGTAGCCTGTTTTCTTTTGTAGTGAATCTGTGTAAGCTATCTTCTTGGACTTCTTGAAATGTCCGAGAATTCTCAAAGGAAGTGGCATGCTGTTCTAAGAATTACATTTTGCATAGTCTGTGTAAAGGGACCACATATGTATGTGCTTTAAATATACAGCCAGTCATTATTTCTTTGTAATTTATGCTTACTGCTACACTGTCACTGTAAAATACTATACAAGAAAAAGAACACATTACAAAGATGCAAAATACCTTAAATAAAACATGGAATGATGCAGAATGGATGCCTGTTGGGTGTACTTGAAATGATCTAAGAGAAAACTAAACGATCGTGGTAATGCTACCTTATTGGTGGGAAGGCAAGTGAAGATGGCAATACTTGTCTTTACAGTATTATTTCATAAAAAGTGCATTGTACAAAAATATATTGACATTTTAATAATGTCATGGAATCCTGTATAAACCAACTGGTTTGGGTTTTTTTGCTATAGACATGAAAACCATAGAAACACAATTGAAGTGTTCTCATTTGTGCGATAAGGAACCATAAAGCTGGAGCCGTTACACTGTTTTCTGCCTCCTCCCCAGTAGCATGATGGTTGGCAAAATACCAACACTTAAGATTCAGTGAGGAAATGCTTATGTTAAATAATCATATGTGGCAGTAAGAAGAGTTTTGGCAGAGATGAAGGATTAGTGCTGTAAGTTTCCACCAGTTTTGGAAAGTATAGGGAGTCAATAATTGTATTCTTTTCTGCTATCACACAGTAGAAAGTTACGTAAAATAACAGCATTTTCTCTCTTACCTGATCTCTGAAGGCATTTTTACCTCTTTTCTTCTGTATATAGGACTTGTAAATGGAAAACACAGTCTCAAAGGTCCTTCTAGGCTTTATGAAAACAGACTGTTACTGGCCACAGGAAAGGGAGAATTCTGTCTGAACTCATTACATCAATCATTATAAAGTTTGTGTTGAAGAACATTGTCTCGTAACAGAATTATGAGCTAGGCCTTGGCCTAGGTAGCTGTAATTTCCCTGTGTATGAGGGAATACTTGTTTATGCTTTGGTTTGTGACTTCTTATAATAAGGAGAAAGTGACACATGAAAGCTGTGATCAGCTACAGTCAGAAATCTGCTCTAGGTTTGAAAGATGAAGTTCTAGTGCATCAGACAACAAACAGTTCCTCTACGAACAAGGCAGGAGACAGGCCTCCCCTGCGCAGGTATTATGTTCCTGCCGCATCTCAGAGGCTTACAATTAAGAACTGAATGAAATCTCTTGCAGTATGAGAAAGCAGCAGATAACCTGTATTATGTAATAAAGGCCACAGAAAAGTTTGTAAGTTAAAGGGACTGGAATTACCCTAGATGGTACAAAAATCACACGTAAGGAAATGAGAACATTAGCATAAGCTAAGAACATGAAGCAGCCTTAAGTAAACTAGGCTGGAGATACAATTCAGTCTCACCTTTCTGCAAGGTTCTGTTACCGTTTAGGTTACCTGTCCTGTGACTTGACTTAAAGTAAGATTTGTTGGAGCTGCAGAGACCTGTCAAAGCAAGCAGCCTGGTTCTGGCAGCAGTCTCACACTAAACATCTGTATACTTTGGTGCAATACAAGCCATAAGCTGTCCTAGCTAGCTGCTTCTGCCCTTTCTCGTTCTGCTGTCTGTTCCAACATGCACAGCTTTCATCAATCCCATCCATTTGCCACGACAGTATTTTTTGCTCCTCATTTTGAAGGACATCTGCAACTTTAGATACACAGCATGCCTTGTCACTCTATAGAGCTCTAAATATTGCTAATAGGACCCCCTAACACTTGTGGTATGTTAGTACTTGAATCAGTGAATTGAAATACAAGCCACAAGCACCTATCTTACCTCCATATTGAATGATGGATACCAAAGCTGTCACAAGGTACAAAAATGTCTATTATTGAGCATTGTAGTTTTGGGGGTTTTTTTTGTACCCGTCATCTGTATCTGCTTGTCATAGGACTTTTGCTTCTTTCAAGTACTCCACAGTCTCAGTTTGAGCCCAAACCCTGACCTCAAAAATAATTCTTGTACTATCAATCATATTTATTATATAGCATGTAACTCTCCCCACCTTTACTAGCCACTTTTGTGATTAGTGTACAGTTGCACAGCAGCTCCCAGGCACAAGTAATACACTTCTATTGTATTAAGTTTTATTTATCTTTATTAAACCTACTTCTCAGGTGGAGGCTTGGTAACCATGATGTTACATGAAAAGAGGACAGACGGGGAAACACAGATGGATGCTTAGGCATAAGAAAGACCACAATGGTTCTCATCCTTAATTGTTTCCTTTTAGCAATCTCATTTTAGTCATATCTATCTGTATGACTCTAGTCATGGCAACTTAGTCTCCTGGTTTGTTTCAACCTTAACCTCTGCCAAAAAGAACATTAAAGGAAGCTTTTAGTAGTAAGGTAGTAGTCTTACAACAATTTCATATCACTAGCTTAGTAGTCCCCAGTGCAAGCAATCTTGGTTTTTAAAGCTTTTTGCTCTTGGCTTAAGATTAAGAGGAATTTATTTTCTTCACAGATCTTTTCATTCATTCACTAGAAACATAACAGAAGTAGCAGCTCACCCTATATTTAGCTTTTAGGTGACTGAAGCTTGTAACACAGTTCCGTTGCTGTATATGCAGGACTGCAAGAATGAATTACACTTAGGAATGTACAAAAGGTAAAAAGGTATCACTTTTAAATGATTTTATGCAGGAGCAGCAGATCTATGGAGTAAAGTTGTCCTGGAAAGGTTCAAGAAAGAATACAATACAGAAAAGTATATTAAGAGCGACAAGCAGGGTTTGTTTTGCAAGCTTTACTTCCATACAATTACACCTGGTACAGACTGAAGAGATACGTTAAGAGAAAACTCTTGCTGTTACTGTACTCTCAAGAAAGGCTTTTCTATTGGAACAAAAAACCTTACTGTACAGAAAACAGAGTCTCTAATTCAGTGAATAACATGGCCTGTTCCCATAGGCCACAGACTTGCTTTTGAAGTCCAGGATGTATGTGCATGCTGGTTAGCAGTCAGGTTATACATTTGAAGCAACAGTACACTATCAAGTTTGCTATTACAAGGACAGTGGGTACTTTGAGAGCCGACATTCAACAACACCTCGTATTCTACCACTTATCTGCAATGGAGAACTTCAAATGTACCTTCTGTGGCATCACCTGCATCACTGCAGAAAGACTGTCCATTAAATACTGAATTTGCTTCTGTTCATCACTGTATAATGAGTACAGTAATATAAAACACATTGTCTTAAATACGTAAGTCTGTATAAGTCCATATTCAAAAATAACACTAGCTGTAGGTATTTACTTGTATTAGGGCTGAAAGCTGTCACAATATATACCGTAAGTCAAAAGCTTCCTGAGTTCTCTACGTATTGCCAATCCTTAGTTTCACAGTGCAGAGATTACTAGTAAACACATTCATAGCTCAGGTTAACAGGAACAAGAAGTTTGGAACTTTAAGGCCGTTTACTAAAAGTTTTCCTACAAACTCATCATAATCCACATTATCTGGATCTGTTCAGGTGCTATTAAAGCTGACTGAATAAAGGGTATCTTCGTCATAACTAAAAATGGTTATACTTCAGTTACTCTTGATTTTTCACCTTATTGATCAGAAACATGCTAGAGTGGGACTTAAGGCAAAGACGTGTATTAACTTAAAAAAAATCATCAGTCTCTTGCATTAAACTGCTGGGAAAATTAGTACAGCATTATAATAGAAAATGAAAGGAAAATGGATATTAAATATGTAGGAAATTTATTTCCTACTTAAAAATCTATACAGATTATAGTAACATTAGGCAGTTAGAGAAGACCCAAAGGTAATTTATATTAACTTACAATAAACACATTAAAGATGAAGTACCACTCACAGCAAGAGGAATGTAGTGAGACTGAAGTTTAATATCTAGCATTGTTAGGAAACTTGACTTCTAGTGAAACAATAATGGAATGCCAATTTCATAAAAATATACACATATAAAAGTATCTTTGTGCCTGAATTCCAGAACAGTTTCTCCAAAGTAGTGCTTTTAGAACTTTCAAGTTTTAATTATATTCAAAGTATCACTTCAGTAAAGTTGGCAAATTACATTCTTATATTAATGTTTTTACTTGACACCTTCCTAAACAGAAGGTGT